TTTGTAATATTGCTATTTTTAATCCTGTAAGCAATAATACATTTGTTTTCTGCAGAAGAATCCTAAGCATTTACTTCACCCACATAGTGGCCCAGTTTATGAGGATTCAACATAAAAATATTTATGTATTTTGCAGCAGGAACAGAAATAATATTTAAACCTGTCAGCCATTTTGTTGAATACTTTATTGGTTCCTAATGTTAAGGAGGAAGCTGAAAATGAGCCATGCAAGGGACATGTTTACCAAACACTGATCTCATCTATAGTAATTTCTGCTTAGAGAAAATAATTGTAGTTTTAGCGCCTGTTTCGCCTGTTGTCTGCTCTGCAGGGACTGTACCTTCGCTGACATGGATTTTTTCATATAGGAAAAAAAAATCCCCAAATCTTTGTGAAAGGTATGTACTTTCCAAAAGGAGCTGCATAATTCTGCAGCAATTATCTTCAACCTCTTAATGACTACAGTGCATGGACTGATTTAAACAAAACATTCAGAAGATGTGTGGAAACAGTGTTTCTGTGGAGTCCTTTGGCCAGTCATGGCATAAGCTCTTTAAAGAGGAAACGTGGGGAATACAGACTTAAAACGGAGATGATCTGATACCACTTTTTTAAAAGTTGGGAAAATGTTGGGCTGTTTTACTGAAATAACTTCTAGTCTTTCTAAGTCAGATCTGCAGTGTTTGCAGTCAGTTTTTCCTTGATGTTTAGAGTTTTCACGGTGTTTCTCCTTTGGAGGTCTGAAAAAATTTACAAGAAAGCATATATATGTTTTCTCTGTATTGAGGATGTTGAGCAGGGCAGGTGGAGAAGAAACTACACTAGGAAGGAATTTCAGACAATTGCATGGATGTGTAAATTATTCTGGTTTTGTTTCTTTGCACTAAGCTATGTTTTTGGGTAGAGAGTGGCACAAAATAATGCTGGAAATGGTTTAGTTAAAGCTGTTGCATTTGCTTCCTGTGGAAACCTATTTTTACTGCTTTATTTAATGTTGGGGGGGGTGTTCTTTTTATAGTGAAACGTTTGTCTCTACTAGAACCAGTTAGAAGCTTTCAAAGGGCATAAAGTGGCCTTGAGAGCAAAGGCAAACTCATTGAGACTGCAGCAGTTTGTTGCAGACCCTGAACCAGGTACAAGTAATTCCCATGCCACTTCCCACAGCCCTTGCTGGACCAGTGGGATTTTCACTCCAAGTAAACAAGGGTTAGATTTCTTCACCATGATAACCCTACAGTGCACAAAGCCTATCCTGTCTGTGACTCAAATGTTAGAGCAAATCCCCCCTCTTTCCAAGTGAAGCTTCCCAACTCAAACTTGTACTTTTTCCATGTCAAAAGTATGTGAAACCCTTAATAATGATAGGATTGCAAGATTTGCACAGTGTGTGTGTGTGTGTGTGTGTGTGTGCCCATGCATCCAACATGAGGGCAGTAATAAATGTCTGTGGCCAGAAATTTTCACCTTTGCAGCTCAGGTTTGACAGCTTTGCTTTGTTCTTAATTGCTGTGTGAAATCTAATTCACAGAAGCACAAAAAAACCCAAACCAAACCAAACCAAAAAAAAAAAAGCCTTGAGCAATTTCAAGTTTAGCGATTATTAGCAGTCAGGGCTCCAAAGAGGTCAAGAGCTTTAGGTCCCCACAAAGCCACTGGAGTTATGCCACATCCCAGAGCAGTCTCCTAAAGGTCAGCCCACTCACCTTGGGGACAAGGGTCTAATTCTCAAATCCTTGTTCCTCTTGACTCGAAGCAAGGCCAGGATTCCAGCTTTCCCACATCCCAAGCGGCGGCCACGAGCATCCTGCAAGTCTGGCTCTGTCTCCCCGCTGGAAGTGGTTCCATTTGATAGCAGTTATTCCCAAAGGGAGGAAATAACTCGACAGAGTGGTCAGAGCACTCAGGGGGACTGTGTGAAAGGCGAGCTGAGCTCTCTGCTCTCCTGAGAGCGTTTCTCTAATAATTGATACAGAGTGGGAGTTTCAGAAAGTGTGGTTTGGGGGTTCAGCTTTGAACAACCGACTAATAATTAAAGCATTTTGCACATGGGTAGTGTGAAAAGACTTGTTTTCTTTTTCAGAGAAAATAATTCTGTATCCAACCACATATTTCAAGCCCTGTCAGGATGGTGTTTGTGAGTGTATTTTCTATCGTCATTGAAAGCCACAGAGGAGGGAAATAAGCATCAGAGCATCACTCACCTCACACTTTAGTAACTGGATGCCCTCTAGCGAGGCTGCCAGTGCTCTCAGATCTGTCACTCCTTATTTATATGGAGATATGTGACATTTCCACGTGTCAAGTGTGACAGTGGTGAGCTCTGGCTCAGAGCACCTTCTGGTGCCCAAGTCTTTCTCAAAATCCACTTATGCCATGCAGGGGTGTTTAAAAGCAGTTGTAGTGTGGCAATAGTTGATTTGTTTAACTCAGGGAGGAGGTTTCCATTTTAAATACGTGGTGTGACTTCGCCAGGCAGTTTGCAGGATGTGAGAGTTATTCTTCAAAACTTTTAAGTGACCAATTTAAATATTTTAATATTAAATGCCTCATCAGTTTATGGTACTATTTGGGCTCTGTTAGTAAGACTCTTGGTATGTGAAAGCACACAAATGTTTGTTCTATTGCTTTCCACCATCCTCTTTTAAATGCCAAGATTAGGTGAAAAGAAGCCCTTATTCCTCTGCAGTGGTAGAAGTTGATCCCGCTTATTGCTCTAAAAACAAATTCACACCTAATGAAGTGAGAGCACAGCACTCCTTGGAAGTTCCTTGGGTCTGTTTTTCCTAAAGCCAACTGAAGATTTGCCTTAGTGTGGGACTGACAGGATTGTGGGACTGTACTGTGGGCCTGAGAGATGATAAAGAACTTAAATTTGCACGGTGGAAATAAAATTGCCATGCAATTGGCATATTTTGGAATATTACTTGCAAGCAATTTTTTTCCTTCTTGAACTGTTTTGTATTTTATTGAAAGCCCGGTACATTTTCATTTAAACACGTATTTCATTGAAAGTAATTTGTAATATTATCTCCCAAGCAGCTCTTGCCCTTAAGGATGCTTTGATATTTAAGTGCTTGCCAAGTACAAACTGCAGTTCCACTTTCCTTTTGTGCAGTGTCTGACTCGAATGAACACTCAGACTGAAAACCGGGCTTGGCTGATGTTACAGAGGGAGGACCTCAGCTGGATGCACATACTGAAGCCATGCAAGGGGAATCTGCCAATGCCAGGTAAGAACCTGCTCTCCAGGTCAGCATGAAGGGAAGAAGGGATGCAAAGGATGATGTTCACAGCCATCTGCCTCCCCTGGCCCTCAGAGCTGCCCAGGCTGAAGAGGGGACAAGATATCCCTCATTATCATGCAAACTAAAGCACATCGAGATGCTTTTTCTGTTAAACACTTGCAAGCTTTGGGCTAATTCAGGCACTGCTTGACATTCCAGGCTCGAAAGATTAACAGGCAAACCAGAAATAACTTTTCCCTGTTGCAGGCAGGTATGATTGTGTGGCTTTTTCCTCCCTTCCGAGGTCAGGTAATGGGATAAGAACAGGAAGAGGGAAGGGACACGCATCATAGGTAAACCACAGTCGTCAATCTCTTCCTGTGGCAGCACGAAAAAAACTGCAGTCACTCTGATAGGCTCTGGGATTCCCCACAGTCAACTAGAACTTCAAATTTCCCTTTCTCAAGGTACGTGGTTAGTACTAGAAACTTTTAATCAGCAGCGTGGAAGAGGAATTACGTGACGGACTATTGCACCTAAGAATTCCTCTCTTAGACAGAAAAGATAAATGCAAGCAAAGATGTACTTGGTGAACCATTTAACACTTCAAAATAATTTTTTGAGAAATTCAGAATTAGCAAAGTCCTTAACTTGCAAAACAGTTTTATTTCACACTTATACAAAGTTAAGACATTTTAAAACACTTACAGTACTACAGATTACATCAACTGCCACCAACTATGCTAATAGGGAACTTCTAAGGTCTCTGGAATTTTACAGGCTTTGAAAGTTTTAAAACAGATTGTCTAATCAGGACCCAAGGATAAACCCTGCTGCAGAGCCACATAATTGGATGTCAGGTTGTGTCACCCCTCTGTCCCCATAACACAGAAGGAAATGTGGCTCTCCAGTAAGTCCTAGATTGACAGTATGTGCAAGAAATACTTAAGAAAAGGAAGGTGCTCCTTAAAAAAAAAAAACAAACAAAAACCCAAAAAAACAACAAACCCAAACCTGTGATGTGTGATATGAATTTGGACTGCATGGATCTAAATACATTCAGTGTTCCACAGATATCCATAGTGAGTTATTTCTTCACCTCAGATGCGAGTCCTCCCTTCAACTTGACAGTTAACAGCCAAGGACAAAATTCACTCTGGTGCACCACAGAACTGAACTTTTTAGGTAAACCTAAAATTCTGAAGTAACAGCAGCTCTAATGTCTGGGGAGTAGGAACAATGGCACAAGATGTTGCCTGGTTTTACGATAAACTTTGGTGAGCCAAGCACGTTACATTCAAGTTTCATTCAGGTTTTGGGTGATCAGGTAAACAGGAGAACAGAAGAAGATCTGTGGATGGCACACAGCTCCAAATGAAGAACCAAGGCTGGTTAGCTACATTTGCTTCCCATTAAGTCCAAAACTAACTTGCTATGAGAAAACAGTATTTCATACAGAAATACAGACAGATTTGCAGTTCATTTTAGAGTCTTTCATGGAAATAAACAAAAGGAGACAAATACCAAAAGATAACCTAAAAGCCTTAAAAGGAATAAAAAAACCCACCATCCCTTCAATCTGTAGCCTTAGGAAAGTCCAACTGGCCTTTCCCAGCAGCAGTGGGAATCTTTGCATCTTAAGTGACAAGTCTTTTAGTGAAACAGTAAAACACAGCGTTTTTTATCCAAAATGGCAATCGGGGAAGTTGTTATGGGGGGGAGAAAGGGGCCCTGCCTTGCAGGTTCAGTCCGTCTTCCCCAGTTAACTTTATTGAAAAAAGAAGAATGAACAAAAAAAAAAAAAAAATCTGTCCTTCCTGACTTTATATGACAGAAAATATGCAGGAGACACAAGCCCAGTTTTTAAGTCTTTCCCAGGTTATCTTTTGGATAAGCTGCATAGCAAGGCAACAAATATTAATATAAGCTAGTTTTCTTCATGATTCTCAGGAATTCCTGCTCACTTACTTCCCCATCTCCATCTCGATCAGCTTCGTCGATCATTTCCTACAAAACACATCGGACACTTGATCAGGCACTGGAGTCTAAACACAAGATATTCCACTCATTAAAACAACAATCAATCAGAAGCATTTCATGTGGAATCATAACTATGCTTGACTGGCCCTTCATATTTCTGACCTCTCAACCCTTTTCGTACAGGGATGAATTCCCACCCAGTCCTTAGGAGTTACGGGATTGGCCTCTGCCTGTTAGGAAAGCTCTGGTAAATCAGAATTTACCTGAAGTTCTTCATCTGTTAGATTTTCTCCCAGCTCTTTGGCAACCCTTTTCAAGTTTTTGAATGAAATTTTTCCTGTCCCATCATCATCAAATAATCTGAAAGCTTTCAAGATTTCTTCCTGTGAATCCTTTTCGCTCTAAAAACAGGAGTAAAACCACGTGTTAATTAGAAAACTCCTGACTTCGAGCTGCTTGTGCTGACACAAGAATTTCTACTAAGAATTCCTACCATTTTTTGTGTCATCATGGCCAAAAAGTCTTCAAAGTCGATGGTGCCGCTTCCTTCCTTGTCAATGTCTGCTATCATTTTCTTAATCTCTTCCTTCTTTGGCTCAAAGCCCAAAGCCCTCATTGCAACCTGCACCAAAAAACAGTTGTTAGGAGGCCACCAAAATTATGTTGTAAGCAGCTGAGCTAAAGCTTGTTTCATTTCCTTGTCCAAAAATGCAGTAACAATTCACTGCAAAGAAAACACCTTGGTATCTCTTACCGGATTCTTTCATCTTTCCAAACAGAAATAGTGTAGGCTTGATATTCTTAGGATGTTGCTCTTCCTACACAGTCTAGTGGAAATCCATAGTTAATTAATATTAGGCAGAAATTTTCCTGCTGATCACTTTTCTAATGGAAAGTGTCAACTCATCAGAAACGTGTGTTTTCTGACCGGTTTCTTGCAACGGGACAACTTGAAAAAGTTCCTTTTTGTTTATTTTAACGGGCAACACTTTCTATTGTAAAATATTTACTATTTTGAATTTATTTTGAAAAAAGAAAACAGCATTGAACGGTTGATGCTAAAACAATTGAGTCTCTTTTAAGAACTATATTTTAACATGCATCATCTGCATTCAGAGAACACGTTGTCCTTAACCAAGTGCTTCCAAGTAAATCCTGAGCTAAGCTACAGGCTTAGGTAACTCATGGTTCTAGGCTACATATGCAGAAATTGAGGCACAGTCTGTGTATGTGAGAAATCAAGGTCAAGGAGACAATTAAAAGGTTCACACTTAGAAAAAGATCAGACACATAAAAACACAGGGAGAGAACTGAGATTAATCCTCCCCCTTGTACCGCTGTGTGTATGCAAGTGCACACACACTGCACTGCCTGAATTGCTACTGAAATGAAACTCAGATCCCTCTTTTGTTCTCTTTTAAGTTAAAACCCAGGTATTTTTTTGATTACATATATGCAAATATGGTTGTAACTTTCCTGAATGTGCGCAAAAAAAATGCATGTCTAGTTCTGAGGTGAAGAAAATACTTGATATTCTGATAACCCAGAACAACAAAAGCCCATTTCCCAGAAACAACCACCCCAGGAACTGTTTAGTTCCTGTAATGCTCAGGTAATTCCAAGTTATCAGACCTAAATATCCCCGTATTAGAGAAGCCTGTCTGCTCTGGAGCATTACATGCAGGGTACACCACATAATACACCCCAAATTCAGTCATGACAGCAAGCCATTACTCTTATTCATACTCCAAAACTATTTTAAAGTAGGGCTGGACAAACAGAAAAAGCAAGTACAGTTTTAAGAGCAAAGATATTTGCATCCAAAGAAAAAAGAAAAAAGTTTGAAAACCTTCAGTTCTTTGATGTCGATGCTACCAGATCCATCGGTGTCAAACAAATCAAAAGCTTCTCGGATCTCCTGCTTTTGCTCTTCGGTAAGTTCGGGTTTCAAGCCACTTTTCTTCCGCTGGGCTGTAGCTAAGCCAGGTTTTCTGTAGTTGGATGCCTTCAGAAAGTAAGAGAGAGAGCAGATAAGAGATAGCCCATTCCAGGAAGAATTCAAAATACATTAAATTATAAATAACAACAGTAGCAGAAGTGAGAGAGACATTCCTTGCTGCCAGTGCTAGACATTACTTTGGTTATTCTAAAAAGAATACAAGCAAACACTTTGTTCCTGCAAAATGTGCATTTGGGTTTCATGTTTTCTGTTTTAAACAGGAATTCTGAAGACTGATGGAGTCGTGCCAGAAGAACAGGCGCGCAGACCGAAAATGAACACCCCACTGAGGAGACTTAAGACCCTCTGTACCTCCTGCAGTTGCCTGGATGTGTCAGGAGCGGTTTCACCTGGAAAATGTGAGTCCATCATCCTCACAGCTAAAAAAACGTGGTTGTAGAGGGTCTTGACTGTGAATGGCACACAAATTCAGCCACTTCCCCAAGCCAGCTCTGAGATGAGCACCTGTTCTGAGGGAGCCAAGTGTAAAGGGAGCTGTGAGATCAACACGAAATCTGTCCCTTACTGAGCACTAATCTGCTTGTGCTGAGCTGGTACATCATTATCCAGGATAATTCCGAGACCTTTCATGCCTCTGGTGTGAACTGTACAGTATAAGGTCTGCGGGTCCCTCCCACTTTACGGAGGTAGAGAGATGTTTTTCTCGAGTCTAGTTTCGTTTTTAAACTACCAGCAGACAGATTTTGGTCCTTCAGTCTTGAATCTGCAGAGACTGGTGGAAGGAAAGGCAGTTCCTCCCATCCCTGGCTTCAACTGGTTGGGCTTCATAAAAATAAATAAACACCAAGCAAGGAATTTGTTTTCTAGCTACTGCTGACCACTTTCTTATCTCAGCTGAATTGGTACCATTTTTCTGGCTGGGATCTCTGCCTTAAATTCCCTATGTGTCACACAGAAGATTCCATTTTCTTGTAGTTAAACGTGAAATTTAATTTTTTTTTTTTTTAACACGATGTGTTCCCCCCCCAGGTTAGATTACAAAGCAGTTCGTCTGGCTTCTCCCTGCTATCGACACAAGCATCAGATTTTTACCCTTTAAACGCCGCTCTGGCAAAACCCCACGGGAGACCTTTTTCCTAATCACAGGGATTTATCATCGTTCCCTTTATTCCAAGTCTGAGCTGTGCAAATCCCTTTCCAGGTTCCCGCTCCGGGCCTGGCTGGTGCCATCCCGACCCGCCACCGCGACAGCACGAAGCGGAGGAGCCCAGCGAGCCGTGCCGAGACCAATCAGGCTTGGTTGTGCTCCCCTCAGCTTGCCGAGCGCAGGTACCGCATTTTGCGAATCCCGGTGTTTTGTCGGGAGCGTTTTCCATAGTGACAGAGCTGGGGCGCGGGTGGGGGGGTGGAACGGAGGTAACCAGGCGGTAGCGGCGGCCTGGGCGGGAGTGGAAGCTGAGAGGGGTTTGCAGGTTGGCGGGGAGGGGCGGAGGGGTTTGGGGAAAGCGGCGGTGGGAAGGGGAGCCCGCGGGGGAAGGAAGGGAAGGGAAGGAAGGGAAGGACGCGCTCACCATCCAGGCGGGAACCATCCGGCACGGGACCGGGCGGGACACAGCGCAACAGACACGCGCCGGCCGGCCGGCCAATGGGCGAGCCGGACGCCCCGCGGGACCCGCCCCCCTGGCCGAGCACCGACCAATAGCGCCGCGCCGTGCCCGTGATTGACAGCTGAGAGCGCCGCGGGACCCGCGCGCGCGGGGCAGCGGCCGCCGTGTCCAGGCAACTCGCGTGTCCACGGAAGCGCCGGGAGCGGCGGGAAGCGCGCCCACGCCGGTGAGACACCCGCACCCTCCGCCCAGCCACCGGGCCGGCCCTCCGCAGCGCAGGAAGCGGCCGGGCCGCCGCCGAGGCAGTTCCGGGGCGCCCGCTGCGTCCGCTCCATCCCCTGGCGATGCGGGGAAGCGCTTCCTCTCCCCGTGAAGATTAGGAGATAGTGTGCAGATGGACTTTCGCTGAGTGGGATGGAAACACGGGCTTTTTGGATTTTGGACTAGCTGCGCCAAGGGGCCTTTAGGGAGATGAAATAAATGGTATAATGAGTAAATTCCAGTACCTGAAGGGGACTTGGGGGAAAGAGGGGGAAGACTATTTACAAGGCAGGACAAGGGGGAATCGGTTCAAGCTGGAAGAGAGTAGGTTTAGGTTAGATTAGAGATTGGGGGAAAATTAGATATTAGGGGAAAATGCTTTGCTTCCAGGGCGGTGAGGCACTGGCACAGGTTGTCCAGAGAAGCTGTGAGTGCCACATCCCTCGAAGTGTCCAAGGCTGGGTTGGATGGGTCTTAAAAGCAACCTGGACTGGTGGAACGTGTCCCTGCCCATGGCGAGGGGGGTTTGCAATAGGATGATCTTCAAGGCCCCTTCCAAACCAAACCATTCTGTGATTCTGTGATTTGAATCTGAGCATAAAAGGTGTAGGGCTCAGGGTTCTAAATTCTTGGTGAGTATACTCTGTAAGTCAAAAAGGAAGTTTTAGTTCAATCCAGGACTGTGGCGTGGAAGAGATTTTGAAGGAAAGAAGATTTATTTTTGGTGTGTTTAAACTGAGTAGTAGATCAAAAATTTTAAAACCTTGGTGGTTTTTGAGGTATTAAGAAGTGGCATTACTTTTCATGCATGTTTAACAAAGTATTCATGTGTGCTAAATGGACTAGATAGAACTGGAAACAAGTTAGTTTGTTTTTCCAGATTTTGAAAGTTAAACCTTCAGGAGGTACAACTGTTGGTAGCAAGAAGAATCTGTAAAGAGCACTTGTGTTTTGCACATAATTTTCCCATTCTGCTCTAATGAACTTTTGCCCTGAGTAAGGCAAATAGCTGAAATTCCACATAACAGGTCAGGAGGGACATGGTAGTTCTGTACAGTCTGCAGTGCTTCAAATTGAAGAAACCGTGGGAATTAACAGCTTTTTACAATCAGAAAGCCAGAAACAATTCCATGGTGTTTAGCAACGTGTTATTTCAGCAACTGTACGCATTGATGTCTCATAATAAGTGCACAGGATAAAGAACTGTTTTATACAGAGTAGAGCTGTGTTCAGGGTTAGACTTCTAAATTACTGGTTTTGGGATTTGTGCTCTGGCTTGCTGTGAGGTTGGGTCAGTAAGTTTGTGTTCTGTCCATAGATGCTGCCCGCTGCCCATGGCTTTCAGGGATGTGAATGCCAGGAGACACATTGGACTCCAGCAGCTCTCATCCTTGGCATCGACTGGCAGAGCATTTCTGGGGCCGGTGAAGTCTCATAAGTTCATCGTGGATGAAAGCACCAAGCAAAGCACATTGATTTGTTCTGCTGTTAGACTGCTTGAAAGTTTGGATTTGACTAGTGCTGCTGCACAGCTTCTTAATGAAACCATTCAGGCCCAGAACAAGGAGTTTAAGACCGGGATGAGTACCCTGTTGTTCCTCGTTGGTGCGTGGAGCAATGCCGTGGTGGAGTGCCTCCAGCAGAATGTCCCTGTTTCAGCAATAGTGTCGGTGATGTCTGAGGGGTTGAACTCTTGCTGTGAGAGAGTCCAGTGTCTCCAAATATCAATACATGATGTAAAGAAAGATCTGTGTTCTAGCAGAGTTAGGCCAAAGGCTTTTGAATGCAAAGCTTGCCAAGCTGGATGTGACAGTCTTCTAAATCCTCAGGATTTGCTGTGTTTTCAGAAACATATTTCTGCACCAGAAGTAATTCCAGTAAGTTCTTGTTCCCATCAAGGAGATGATTGTCATTTTAACAAGGGCCTGGTTTCACCCTTGGTTGACTTTGGTTCAGCAGCTTCTCTTGTCAAAGCAGCAGGTGACAGAAGTTCATCTGTGATTCCTGCAAGTGGTGTTATTACATCCAGCTGGATCAAACAGAAGTTAACCCACAGCAGACACTTCAGCACCTTAGGAAAAAGCCACTTTTCAAGTCAGCAAGGTAATTTTGAGGGACACTTTCTGAGACCGTCGGCAGATCCATGTGAATGCTGTGATTTAGGGCACCTGGCAGTGGCTCTGAGCCATGGAAATGAGACTGGTGTCAAACTGCTCCAGAGCGTTGTTGCGTATCAGCAAGAGAGAGCAGAATGCAGGGGCTCTTCCCAGCTTAATATCACAGAGATTGTGACGTGCCCTTTGCTGGGCCTGCCTGAAAGCCACTCCCGTGTCTGCCAGGGCTTTGTCACGTTAGTGTCACCAGAACAAGCCACAGTCATCAAACAGTTTAAAGACAAACCCCTCCGGATGCTGCTGGTGGACGGTGACCTAACGGAGCAGTATCGTCACTTAGGTTTTAACAGACCACATAACGTAAGGACCATACTGGAGCATCCTAACCTAGAGGGAGGCAGAGCAGGAGACACGTGGCTAAGCAGGATGTTGGATATCCTGGTGGGCTTTGAAGTAAACCTCGTTTTGGTCAAAGGAAGCGTGTGCAAAAACTTACTGGACAGATGCACCTCAAGCAGGATACTGGTAATCAATCTTGTGCCTCAGGATGTGTTGTGTGCCTTTGGGGAGGTCACTGGTGCCCAACCAGTGACATACCTGAGCCAGCTGAACCCTTCCTGTGTTGGGAACGGGGCCCAGGCCGGGATGTGGGAGGCCAGCGATGGGCGTGCGATGGATCTGGGGGAGCTTGTGCCGGTGCGGATCAGCGCGCGAGGCCTCCCCCTGCTCACGGCCGTGCTCACCACTGCCGTGGCTGCCAAGCTGCAGCTCCTGGAGGACCAGTTCTGGACTTGGGTGTATCGGCTCTACCACGCTTTAAAAGATGGGAAGGTTTTTCCCGGGGGTGGTGCGGTGGAGCTCCTGTGCCTCAGCCACATCCAGGTGCTCGCGGAGCAGCCTGTGCGACCAGCAAAGGCTGGGAAAGAGTTTCCCGGTCCTTGGCTGGCAGCACCCGTGGCAGAGTATAAATCCCTCGTGCTCCAAGCCCTAGCAAGTGGCTGGAAGCGGTACCTCACCGTGGTCATGTGTAACACGGCAAAGGCTCCGTCGGAGTTGGAAGCGTGCGCGTTAGTGGATCGTCACCTCAGGAAAGCAGCGGAGTGTGGCTCTCCCTCAGCATATATCTTGGAGTTGTTTCGAAGAGGCGACGTGCTCGGGGGTGGCTCCAGTCCCTTTGCTGACCACGGCGAGGGTTTAAAGGTTTGTGATAACGTCGGAGCCAAGACAGAGGCGTGGAGGAGAGCGCTGGACGTGGTGCTGCTGGTGCTTCAGACTGATGCCGAAATTATCACAGGGCCCGGAAGGAATGAGCTGTTGAACTCGCCCGTGTCAAGTGAATTTATGTTCTTATAGGACTTTTCAGTCCCTGAGTCAGTGGGAGAAGTCCAGGTTCAACCTACGTGTCCTCGTAGTTTACAAAGCAAACACTGAGATGTGATTATGACTGTAGAGTGTAACAGCAGAAATCAGAGTGAGAGACAGTCACAAGGTAATTTCTTATTTCTAGAAATGAGAATTAAATAACAAAGAAAAATCACTTGTGGGCTGACCTCTAACCCCAGCCTAATAATATTGTCTGTACAGATGTCTCCTGATGTCTTCTAAAGAAAGGTAGGGATTTCTTACATAAAATTGGTGTGCTTGTGGTAAATTAAAGAATATATATAATGTAACTAATTGTGAATTAATACCTTGTTCTTAATTTCTGTACATTGCAAGCATAAGAGTTAAACGTGAGTGTTACATTTTGCACTAAGAGATCACATTAATAGATTTTATTTTTGTATATTTGTATGGTCCATATATCTCCTGTTTTCCAATATATACCCTTTGGAATTTCTCTGGTTTTGACAAATTCATGCTGAATCCTTCCTTTTGGTGTTATAGACTGGGGTTACCTCCACAAAATTTTCTTTTTACATCACACACCGGATTTTTAGATTATTTCCTTGGGGTTTTTCAGTTATTTGTAGAGAGGAAAATGGTCTATGTTTTAGGTGTTGGCTAAAAACTGTAAACAGGACTATCATGATTGAGGCAAGGCATTTTTACTGTGTTACAGCACTTATAATTTGGAAGCAGAGCCCTGAAGAACTGGCACTTCATTACAAGAAAGAGGTGTGTAACTATGGAGATTTTTTTTTTTTTTCCCACTGAATTTGGCATTCTGAATCATGCTTACAAGTGAAATGTCTCACCAGTTCTGTTGAAAACAGAACAGAAAACAAATGGAAATGGTGATGTCAAAGTGGATTCTTGCTTTCAGGAACTTTCTCATTAAACTGCTGATGGCTGGAAGTACAGATAATGAAATTCACTCCCAAATAAGGTTTAGATATGTGTAGAGATGAGTGTGTGTATTTTTTAGTGTTGTATTTTTGACCTGAAACTGCAAATATTTTGGTTTTCTATCAAACTCCAGAATTCAGTGGGTTTTGAGGAAAACCTCATCAGCACTCTAGGGGTTTATAATTTTAATTTGGAACACTATTTCCCAGCAGCACAGGGATCTATTTATATGGAAGTTTTGATCAGCCTGCAATTACATTTGCATTATTGATCAGTTGGCACGTTGATATTTGACTGCTTGGCCATGTGCTTGTTGTACTAAGGCACGGGAGAGAAAGAGTCTGGTAGATCAAAAGAGGCAAGAGGAGCTAATGGCTGTTAAGTGAGAATGAAGTGGAAACACA